ATGGTGTATTACTTTGTTTCCTAATATGTTTTCTTGTTGATAAAAAATTAAGGTAATGATATGTGTCAAAAACCGCGAGAACTTTCCCTACAACCTATTACTTTATCCATTCAATCCACAGGCAAGAGCTTTGCCCCTACTTAGTTCACTTGGGAAAGGGAAAACGGTGCTAGAGAGATTGAACTTCACCCCTCCTGGATCAAGATTGTGAGTGATTTTCGCTGACAATAAGAAATTGGCAATTGTCGCCGTATAGTGGGTAGCATTTCGTAGCCGAGCAGGCTTCATTTCTGACATGGCCTCCACAATCAATCCCATGATGCAACAATCAAAGCAAAAACCTCTCTTCTAGGACCCGTATCTTTCTTAGAACTTTTGTGGTGTCTATTAAAACATTGAATTTTCAGCGAGAATTCATCGAAGTATTTTTCCAAGCTTATGTTCCTACTTTCAGAATCAAGCCGAAACAGTGGAAAATAGCACATTACGGAGAGTGTTCCAAGGCATTGTGAGAAGACGTGAGGTAAGGGGAGCTATGTATGATAATTTCCTCGCTTCCCATTCTGCAAAATATTCTGAATGTGACTGTAAATTGTGTTTTTCTCCAGAGCGAATTCGATCAACGCATTGCTGCAGAACCGGCAACTTCAAAGAGGACACTGCAAAGTGAACCGGTGGTATACGTCGAGAAGAATGGTCAGCTATTAGCTTTTGCTTGTGATAGCTTTCCATGCTCAGTGCAGCTAGAGCGGGGACTACCACTGGACATTATAATCGCACCTACAAATGTAACTCCTGCCTAGTTGTTAGCTCCATTGAGTTCAGGCCTTTGACTGCTGGCGCTGCTGTTCTTTACATCACAGTTTTGATTTTCCACACCAGTCCTTTTCCAGGCACCTAAAGTGACTTTATTCGCCAAAATCGGACGACCTGACTCCTGGCCTTTCCTGTAAAGAGTAAATAGCCTCTGGCCAAACCTCTTTTTGAGATGCGCCACGCATTCAGAATCAGAGTCACTTTTAACGTTGGTCATTAGCTCATACAGTGACGTCAGGGTCACTCTCGAAAGCTCATTTACTGTGCGAATAATTTTGTCCTCATACCATATAAAACTGGTGTCAGCGCTCGCTTTGCATTGTTAGGATTTGATCCAAGGCGAACCCCGGATCGTGTGCCGTGTTGGAACGTGTCAATTTTTGGGGTCGCACTTTCTTAGGCTACATTCGCTTGTATTACATATTCACTTGATCTGACTTTAATATTGAGTACTGCAGTACTGTTTCGGTACCACGTTCTCCGAGAGCTGTGATCCCATTATAGCTGCCCTCAACTGAGCACATGAAGGTTTTACATTTTATCTTGCATTCAGAGGCTCTGCCGTAAAAATAGGCTAGCTACATTAGCGCTTACGGCGGGTGGCGTATCGCTAGGATCCCAACAGTGTATGAATGATACAATCCAAAGCACGTGCATGGTCCTCGTCCACAGCTCATGCGATCAACTGAACCCAAACTGTGTGAAATAATAATACTTGATGTGATGATTTGAGAAAATACTGCAGTTCTCGCTGGATCAACTGAAAACCATATTTCAAAATTTAGTGGAGTGCCTGCTGTTCTCCGAGTCTTCTTTATACGACGAATTTCAAGTTTGAATTCAGGAAAGTTTCGAGCAATGAAGAAGAATGTATTCGAAAGGGAGAAAGAGGTCGGAGTGAAGAAGCCGCATGATGACGCCTTCACTTCGATGATCGGCTTCATCTCGTCTCGACACCCGGATGTGGCGGTAGCGTACTCGTTCCAAAACAATTTTCACAACATTTCAATGATTATGCAAGGTGAATGAATGCTTTTGAATTCCTATATTTTTATTCCGAGCTAGCCAAAGTGAAATGACTGTATGAATGAAGCAGTACATAAATTGGCTGAATAGGTTGGGAAGAAATTGGCTGAATAGGTTGGGAAGGGCTTCATTTTGCTACATCTACCCAGAATCCATCTGAAAAACTGTGGCTCCAATGGCTTGAATAGGCTCACACCAGATTTGTTTTGAATGTCTTCAACTTACGCATTAAGACATGTTTCGGTGGATATTTTGGAAGTAGCAGGGGACGCGTGTAATACATAGTTTGACGGCATGCTCCGCGATCAGCTGTCTTGAAGGTTTCTTCATTGCGATATAGTGATAACAGCGCTGTATTGAATGCGCTGTACGCACTACTAAACTGCAGGGTGCTGAGCAAATAGTACGCAAGCAAGACCGAAGAAGAAGCGCCTCACTAAAGTCAGGGCAACAACAGAAGACGCCTTGAATAGGGTATACTTGGGACGGCTGTTCGGTACTAGCGCTAGGGAGAAGAAGATCTGAGAGAAGGAGCCGGCTTTTGAAGAGAACATCGAATTCTATATTTTAAGCATACAATTCTGTGGTTTCATAGTTTCATGAGTGAATGGCTCCTCCATTGAACCAACGGGATCTCTAGTGCCAGGCGCTAGTAACCGAGTTCATTAGCAGAATCACTTCCACTGATATATCGTCATAAAATCACAAGACTCTGGAGACGAAAACGTTTGGTAGTCTTAGGTGACAGCAAAATGGCAGGCGTGTGAAAATTGACAAAAGCGTATCCAGCGCAAATCAGTAAGGAGCACGAGTATTTTCGAGCCAAGGTTGAGAATAATTGCGCTTAGCAGACCAGCAATGACCGTTTACCACAAAAAACCACATGAAGAATGTTCAGAAGAAAAGCTGCATTGGAAAACGTACAGGGCCTAGGGGACTACAGGGGGACTGTAAAGGGGCTCTGAAGAACCTCCAGAAAATGCACGCGCAAGATCAGGCTATCATACCACCAGTACTATCCAGAACTTTTCAAAATATTTGAAAAACTAATTAGGGCAGGAACGATTCAGGGTTGATATTCTGGTCTAATGAGGGTTGAGTCTGTGTTCGCAACTTTCTGCTTTTGTAAGCTGGTGTTCGTAAACATTCGAGCGAAGGCTTGAGCAACGTATTCTCGGTTCAGCATAAGATCATAAGTAATTCATCCATTAAAAGAAAAAATACTATGTTCGATCCTGGGTCGGAGAAGAAATAAAACCCAGTTGCAGACCTAACAACCCAGATAAATCTATTAGCCACACTGTAAAAATTACTCGCACGTGATATACTGATAGAGAAGAAAAACATTACCTCTTCAGGTTTCCTCTCGGGGCTCACCGTTGCTGAAGCCGTGTTTGCATTCAGCTTTGCCAACGAGGTAAGTCTTATGTGTCACCTGTTTCAAATGAAATATCAAATATGCTATGGGTAGTTTTCCTAGCGTAACTACTATAGATTTTACATGGGTTGATGGAGGGCGATGAATGTTCATTGCCTCCTAAAACGATCATGGTCACGATAACAGCTGCAGACATTCAGAAACAGTCAATCGTCCGTCGATCTTGGTGGGGAGTCGTGCTGCGGTATTCGAGAAGGGGTTGCATCTGGAGTTGACGAAGGTGAAGGGAGGAAGGGGTCTTATTTTTAGAATTTCGAGGTGTCCTGGTTGCAGAGGGGTTGTGGTTAGGGTTTTTCTTTCAGTTTTGCCAAAAACTTCGAAAAACATGCGTGAAATGTACAAAGTTAGAGCATTTGCCATTTCTTGGGACAAACTATGTTCACTCCTCCTGTGATCCTACCTTAAGTGCTCTGCTGCGCTTACCGACTATCGATGGAACGTATAGCGTCACCGAGGCATGCGAGTAAAACTACCAAAATTTCTTATGCTGGCCTATCTTTTGGGATATGCGCCACGCTTTCGATTTTCATAGAACTGCAACGAATTTGCTGTGCACATAGCTTGCAATAACATAAAAGGGCCAGCAGTGGTGACGCCACATTTTTATGCTCTTATACAACACTGGAACCAGCCAGTTGTTCAGGAACGATATAGGAATTGCACTTACAGCGCTCATAAGTCCATCGATCTTTATCATCCTCGTTTCGTGTATGTAGGTATCACAGCACTCTTTTACGGGTAGTATCGCAACACTTGCCTGATATGAGTATCTAGGAAAAACGCCCAACTTCTGGCCGTTTTCTATTGAAGGGGGGAATGAAGATCATCCGAGTTCGGCTTGGGG